AGGCCGCAGCAGGCCCCGTCGCCAAGGCAATGGGGGGTCGGGCTGCCCCACGGCGGCTGGCTCCCGGGGCAGGGCCCCGCGGCGGGGCCGGGAGCGCCTGGCAGCCCCCCTCAATCCCCCCAGAGAGGGCCCGACCCGCCGCGGGACCGGGGCCGGGTGTCCCCCGTCCCCGTCCCCCCCCCAGGGCGGTCTTGCTGTGAGGGGAGCCGGGGATGTGACAGCCTGTCCCCGAGGGGTGGGCAGGCCGAACCGGCAGAGAGTCACCTTCGTCCTCCGAGCCTGTCGTCAGCCCTCCTGCCGTCCGTGATACCCTCTTTGCCTTTGCAGTGGCCTCGGCCAGGGGGATGGCGAGGGGGTTCTGGTATTTTGCCGCTGGGTTTCTTGCTCTTTCTTGTCTGCCGATCTAGGTCCTGAGCCGTTTCTGATGTGGGCCTAGTCTGAAAAGGTAGTTTGGCATGTCTGGACTGATACCCCTCCTGCTATAGCTTGTCCCCTTGAACATTCACACCCTTTGAATTCAGCTGCTAAAGGCTGCAGCGTGGCATGGAATCTTCCATGCTGTATCAACATGAATCCGAATGGGTTTTGTGTATTTGATGATATATGGCATTTACCTTGGGGGGCTGTATTTCCAGGATTGGGTACATACAACCATTCAATTTACCTGTGAGGTCTGCAGGCGCAGTGCTCTTGTCTGGATATTCTTGCTCAACAGTTGAGCAAAGTTGTTCAAGTATGTTTTACAGCTGTGCTTTGAGTAGCTTTTCTATTCTGATGCAAGACCTTTTCCGCTTGGTGAAATGCCCTGGCTTCTGATTCCAGTACTGCGTGCTGCAGGGCATGATCATATTTCTTACTTCCTCACAGTTGGTAATAAGTTTGGGATCCCCCCCCCCCCTTATTGTGCCACACCTTGGCTAAAATGGTGTAGCCTCACTAGCATAGTTTGCAGGGCATTCCCCCTCATGGAGGGGAAAGCTCTTTTAAAAATTTCTGATTAATATTTTCCAACCTGAAAGAACTAAAAGAAAAACTTCAGATTGGTGGTCTGTAATTCTTCATGCAGAAAGGTAGCTTTCTGATACAGGGCAGACAAGAGTTTCATTTCTTTACAGCTTTCATTTCAGGAATGTCTGGAAAATCTCCAAAAATATAGAAGCTTGTGATAGAATGAGCTGCTCTGGAGGTGTGCCAGGGGCCAGGATGTCACAGACCAATTAAATTGTTGGAGTTAAGCCAAGTTGCAATTTTGACTGCTGCAGCTGAGCTGAGTTTCTGTCAAAAATTTTTCTTGCACAGAGAAGTATTTTTTACTTGCAATTCTTGCCTTTTTTATTTGCAACAATATTTTACAAATATTTTGCAACATTGTCTTTTTTATTTGCAAAATCTGTGAATAACGGTCTTGAAAAGTATTAACACAATTGGCTAATATTTCACGGCATTGATGATAGACGGTAAAATGCCCAGAGCTGTGACGGTGCCATTCATCTCTTGCTGGAATGGAGACTACTGAGTCTTCCTAAAGCCTTGGATTTTGGCAGCCAGTTTTGGTAGATGCAGCATATAGTCTTCTCGCTTTGCTTAGAAGTGAGGAGTAGCAATGTAATATCTGAGGAGTCTGCTGAAAGAAATGCGTCTCTGTTTAAGGTGAGACATCCAGTGTGCAGACCTTTTCCAAAATAAATTTAGAATTAATTTGTGACTTAGTATTTCTGTCTCTGCAAGCAGCCTGAAATAACAACACCCTTGTGTAAAACATCCCTGGATTCTCCTGTTGATATTTAATAAGTATATTTTGGTTAAGTTTTACAGTATGCTTTTGTTGTTAGGTAGTGCAGCAGTGTCAATGCTACTTAGCTCTTCAGCTTGCCATGGAGTACATTACAAAGGAGGCTGCATCTGATAATCAGAGTACTTGTCACTGTAATCTGCGATCTTCCTTTTCGTCTAATACCTTTTGCCAGTTTATGAGTGTGATGCCCTGCAAGACTGGAAACTTGAGCTTTGAGAACTCTTGGTCCTGCTAAAGTGATCATTGTTTCCTCAGTGGTTCTCTGCTCTTCCCAGTACTTGGTGCTGTGAGGAGAGCTTGCCTGAACAGCTTTTAAAATGCCTACTCCGTTTCCCTTCTCTGGGACATATCTTTACATTGACTGAGGTGAAGGCACAGGAAGGAAATGCAAGTGTGTTTGTCTCATGAAATTCTACTCTCAGATTATCCTTAAATAAACTCTCAGATAATCCTTAAAATCCTTAGATGTTAACAGTACAAGGTTATGTATTCAAGGGAAATCGCTGAGTTTTACTAAGAAAATACAGGGTGCTATAATGATAGTTAATATCTGACATACTATTATTTTCCATCTATTTTTTGATGGTCTTAAAATGCTACAAACAGTGAGTACTTTATATGTAGGTGGCAACATTTTAAAATCAAGAATGCAATTTATATAAAAATTTTGCTTCTTAAAGCTGACCTCAGTTAATCAATCCTTTATCAAACTTGATAATATTATCAGCCAAACATTATTTGGGTCAGGTGCTTCTTTCCAGTATTATATTATTTACTTCCTGATTTTGTGACAAGGTTTGTCTTATGGAAATCTTTGTTAGACGAAAGGCATTTCAATAGCACAAGAAGTTTGATAAACTTAACTTTCTTACTGTAGTTTATATTAATAAATCCAGTCACAATTTAAGGCACAATGAAAAAGGAACACATAGGAAAATTATGTGACTAGTTCATAGTTTTGGTGAGTCACGCAGTTTTCTTTCTGTTACTGTGAGTGTATGTTAAAATAGAAAAAAATACTTACTTGAAGTTAGTACCGCATTCATTTATACTTCATATAAGCTTTCTTGACTGAATTGCAAAAGAGTTGAGAAACCTGTAATCCTGGCAGTAAAACCACTTCAATCGTGTCATACATTTCTTCCGAAGTATTCTTAGTGCTAATTATTAACTTACTCTTTTTTTTTCCCCCAGATCTATAACAACATACCTGAAGTCAATGATGTTTTCCAAGCTAACCCGCTCTCAGAGCATTGCTGTTCTCTGTCGAGGTGTTCACGCTTCACTGAGTTCTGCTACCTCAGTTGCCACAAAAAAAACTATTCAAGGACCTCCATCCTCTGATTTCATATTTGAACGTGAGGCTAAATATGGTGCCCACAATTATCACCCACTGCCTGTGGCTCTGGAGAAGGGAAAAGGTATTTTATTTAGGTTTCCCTGGGTGGTGTAGATGGGATCTGTGTGTGTGTAGATGGGATGGGATCATGGTGTAATGATTCTGACCTAATCAGTCTCTGAACCTTTGGGGGTTTTTTGGGGGGTGGGATGGATGGGATTGAGATAATCGATGAAATAAAGACAGCTAATTGCTGGTTAGAGAAGTGGATCATTATGCATAAGCCACCTGATAAAGTTGTAGTCTCTCTAAAATGACTTCTCTAAACAGAGGTCTAAATTCTGATAATCTTCTGATAATCTTATTCTGATAATTCAGAATAACTCAGCAAGAAAGTTTCAAGAAATTTTGTTTCTTCTGTTACCTTATGTGGAGAGGTTTAATGTTAATGTGAACATGAAAAGGTGCATTGGAACCCTATTTAAGTTCTTGTGTACTGTTCCTGTACTATTGCTTAATTTAAATTTATTCTGGTTTTTAATTATGTTTAAGGGGCTTTTGTGCTCTGCAGGTTAAATTCTATGAGTTTGTATTGAAATGCTATCAGCATAGTGATCCAGTAGTTTTTCTTTATTGATACACATTTAGACAACTCAAAGCTGTTGGTCTCTTAAGTTTTGAGACTATTTGGGTTCTGTTGGTTTTGTTCTTTCTTTTATGACCTCCAATTCTTATTAATTTTCTTACAAAAGTATTCTTCTCTGTCTACGTTTTAGGACCCAAAACAGGAACTTGGAGGGGAAGAAATATTCTGATATTACTTACTAACTTAGTGGAATAGCAGCTTTAAATGGGAAATGCTTCTTTTCTTGATTCCTCATTGGGCATTTATTTGTACTGTACTAGTTTGTTGCTCATGCTCTCCTTGTCAACTGATTATTTTCTAGTTAGAGGGCCTTTCAGGTATGCCCTAAGGAATAGTGAGAGTATCATTTCTATTTGACCAGGTTGTGTTGTAATTCTTAGCTTATACCATTTAGTATTATCTCATGTCTTCTTCTATTTTGTGTATTGACCATACCTTTGTTTTCTTAGGTGTTTATGTGTGGGATGTTGAAGGTAGAAAGTATTTTGACTTTCTGAGTGCTTACAGTGCTGTTAATCAAGGCCACTGTCACCCAAAGATCGTGAATGCTCTGAAAGCTCAGTCTGAAAAACTGACCCTTACATCCAGAGCATTCTACAATGATGTACTTGGCGAATATGAGGAGTTTGTCACCAAAATGTTTAATTATAACAAAGTTCTTCCAATGAACACAGGTAAAAAAAAAAATTATTTCCGTTCTGTTTCTTGTCTGTGAGATTCAATGGTTTTGTAACATTTGATACTGCATCAATGGCCTGTTTTATGTACAAGTGTGATAATGGTACTGCTTTATGTTTTAGGAGTGGAAGCTGGAGAAACTGCCTGTAAATTGGCTCGGAAGTGGGCATACACTGTGAAAGGAATTCCAAAATACAAAGCAAAAATTATTTTTGCGGGTATGTAAAGTGCGTGTTACGAGTTGAGGTATTGAGGAGGAAGAGATCTCTAGACGCTGCATGTAGCACTCTCTTTTCTCCTATAGCTGTAGTGATTACTTTGCAGTATTCTTAATGCTTCAGTTTTTTCCCTGAAGCAAGTCTGTTGAAGGTCTCTGTAACCTCTGATACTTTAATAATGTAAGCTCTCAACCTATTAACGGGTTATGTTATGCTCACATATCTGCAGTTGGTGATTCTAATAAAAAACTACTGTTGTGGCTACAACAGTCTTTGCAGAACCTTAAGGTAACTAGTGATAGAACAAAAGGAAATGGCCTCAAGTTGCGCCAGGGGAGGTTTAGATTGGATATTAGAAAAAATTTCTTTACTGAAAGGGTTGCCAGGCATTGGAACAGGCTGCCCAGGGAAGTGTTGGAGTCACCATCCCTGGAGGTGTTAAAAAAACGTGTAGACGTGGCACTTCAGGACATGGTTTAGTGGGCGTGGTGGTGTTGGGTTGACGGTTGGACTTCATGATCTTAAAGGTCTTTTCCAACCTGAACGATTCTATGATTCTATGATATTCTGTTGACAAAATATTCTGTGTATGCTTCTGCTATTTGATTTTAACCTTGAATAGTTACAATGAATTATAAACATTTTTTTAAATGTAATGTCCTTTAAGAAACGCATGTGATCTTAACAGAATTAATTGTAAAAGCAAGAGATATGAATATAATTCCTATGACAAATCAATTTCAGATCCTTTCCCTTGTGGAGGTGTATGCATCGAGAGGCAATGAGGATAGTTGTGCTTTGTCAGGAGCTGCTGGTAATGTCTGTTTTTGCAAGGGAAATGCAACAATGACCTTAAATCCAGGAAGGAAACCATACTTAATATGGTCATTTATAAAGCTTTATAAACAGCAATTGAATATATAAAGTGGACCTCATTTGTACTACTTAACCTTTTTAGTTGTCAAAAATTGATGGGTGGCTGCCTGAAGTCACATGGAAAGTGCATTCAGTCCTCCATGCTCTTTTAACTGCTGCTTGGGTGTTAAAGTGCAGTATCTTTTTATTCCTAATTGGTTGATTTTTATGTACCTTTCTCGTGAATTCATCCCTCAGATTGCTGCCACCCCTCTCATAGATTCCACATTTGGGTTAAGCCTGCTTCCCTCTTAGGCTTTCCCTACCACTGGTTTTCTTCTGCATTCTTAAGGTCTTCCAGAAGTTGGCATTAATTCAGTAAAGCCATACTGTAGTCTTGATCATATAATCAAGGTAAAAGCAATATTGCTAAAGTAAATATGGGGCCCTGGAAAGTCCTGATTATATACGTGGTATACTTCCTCTTTTCATCTGCCTGCTCCGCTTGGCTCTGTAATGGGGAGAAGTTACCTGCCTCTGAAGAGGCTATTGTGCTTTGCTGAAAAAAAATTAAAAAAAAATAATTATGTCTAATTGAAATAACTTACATTTGGTATTCTTTGGTTATAGGTGAAGTATTTTTCCCAATTCTAATGTTCTGTATTTTATAAAACCTTCCAGAATAGAGGCTACTACTTCAATATTGACTTTTTTTTTTAATTGCTACAGCTGCAAAATACTGGTTTTGACTTTTGTTACATATAGTAGCTGAACCATAAACTATCATTAGGAAGCATTTATAAATTGAAATTCATAGTTCAATTACGCATTATGGATTCTAGGACGGATTAGATTAGATTTATTTTTTCTTCAGGGAATTCTTTGAACAAGTAAATTTCTCCCTTCTTCTCTTCTGTATATATTTTATTTTGCACTTCAGTCAACTAACTTTTAGTAAGTGCTTTCTCATCTTGATAAACTGGATATGCTCTCCATTTTTATGATCCCATCCCCTGAACCACAATATATAATTACGTGCCAAGTAGGTGAGAAAAAAAAAAGTAATCCTTCTCTTCTCAGAAGCCAGCATTTTGGCAGGAAAAAAGCTCTCTTGGGTAGCTAGGGTCAGAATAAAAAATTACTTTAAACATCAGTCTAGAGAACTTGAGGTAGATGCTGTGCTTGATAGTGAGCCAGTAGGGAGACTGGACTGCTAAGGTGGAGACAGCCTGCCATCAGCAGATAGACTGCTCTGCTTCATGTAATTTAGTCTTCAGGGCTTTGTTACAGGATACAGAGGATTGCGCTAACATAACCTTGAGGTGATAAGCACGTGACTCAGCAAAGCATGGCAGGGATTGTTCTGCTAGGAGGCATTGCTATGGTGAACAGTGTAATGCTATTTACATTGGTGATTAGAAAGAAGGGATGCCTAGAGGTGGCTACGTCAGTAATAATTGACTTCAGGATTTCCTGCAGATTGAGAACATCCTCTGCCCCTAGGATCACAGTTACACAAAGAAATTGGTGGGGGAAAGAAAGAAAAGGCTTGTAATGCTATGGAGGTGTTGAACCCTTAATCTTCCTTAGTCTTATTCAACATCTTAGTAATGATTAGCTGAGAGTACGTTGATTTAACTCAAAAATTAAAATGAAGATATCATAGTCTTGGTGATAGTTGGTTCCTAGACATTTTAACTGAAGTTTCTATATGAAATAGTGCAATGTCACAATACTTTTACAAATATGAGTGGCTTCTCCTGGAACTTTGAAATGCACAGAAGTGTATTTTTTGATTTAGGCTTATGGGCAGCTTTATTTTTAGGACCTAAATTCTGGGTGTTGTTTACTTTTTTCTGCATTTAATGAGTAATGTTTATGTAAAAGCTACACATCTTCCTTAAAAATATGTTATCTTTCTGAGTTATTTTCAATTTTTCAGGCTACTAACAAAGCTTATGGAAATTATTTTGTATTCTTGCCACGTCTTGGGTTTGATATGTGTTCTTGATATAGCAACATCATGTATTTATGGCATCAATGTAAAATGCTAGCAATTAGGAGAAGGATGCTAATATGCTAATGTTAGACAACTCTTAAAATGCATTACCAAATGGAAAGTGGGATGTCCTATAAACTGTCCTGGCTCTTACTTAATTTTGTAACAATCTCCCTCTTTATTTTTTTTTTTTATTTTTTTTTCAGCTGGCAACTTCTGGGGCAGAACCATGTCTGCTATCTCTAGTTCTACCGACCCATCCAGCTATGATGGATTTGGACCCTTTATGCCAGGTTTCGAAGTGATCCCATACAATGACCTACCAGCTCTTGAGGTATTTGACAATTTTTGTTTTCTGGTAAGAAATCACTTTACAGTGACTCATTGGTAAATAGCAAGGCAGGAAAATCAGCAGTTTATCCTTTGAAACATGTGCTTTGACATAAAGATATATGTATCTAGACATATTTAAGAAATATATATGTTATAATTATGTATAGGAAGTGTGTGTAAATTCTGCTTTGGTTTTGATTTTCAGCTTTGCTTTATATGTAAAAGGAAAACAACACGATCTGTTTCATTTCCCATGTCACTAAGATGTTCAGGGTACCAATGAAGAACAGCAGATAAGGCGTAAGGGTATTCAGATCAGTAGCATGCATTCCAAAGTCAGGATCTGGATTCTGAAACTAGTATCTTTACCTACTTTTCTCAGAAATGCTGTGCATTCTTCAATGACCAGATAACTAGAATTCACTGCAGTTGCAAACAAGTCTTTCCAGTTTCACAGCATCCTTAAAACCATGCTAGGGTGGTGTTTCACTGGGACGCTAGTGATTCTGCATTTCCCTGGGTTTTCTGAGATGCATCCTGTCAAGCTGTTGGGGAGGGTTGACCTTGATTAGTCTAAAACTTCCCACCCTCTTAATGTGGGCTTGGGTATTAAAGGGTAGATGGTGCTTGATGGCAGCCATAGCGTGCTGGACTTGGGACCTGCGAGTCAAGAGGGTTCCAGCCAAACACAGATAGTCCTGAAGCGCTAGGAACATTGGCATTGACACTTTTCCATCATCTGGGTACATTGTCTCCATGAGTGACAAGTTGGTTAGTCCTCTGTGCCTGTTGGGTCTGCTTAGTACAAGTGAGTCGGCTCTGGAGATTGGAGGGTTTATAGGACCGAGATTCTTGCCTCCTAGGAGTTTGGTTAGGGGAAACAAAGGTCTCTCAGTGTATTATAGTTGCAGTGTGGAAAAGCTTACTCAGATTTGAACCTGCATAAGGCTGCCCATTGTGAAAGCCCTGTAAGTATTTAGTGGCTTTCAGCCAACTTTACTGAGGCTTTGAATGCGCTCTGGAGACCTGAAACTTAGGTCTACGTCCATCAGACTGATAACTGAATTTGTTCTGTTTATGGGGCAATACTTAGTAAATTCATGCTGGGAATCATTACATCTCTTGAGTCTCATGGACTTCTAAACCTTTTAGAACCTGATGGTGCAAGAGTGTAGCTGTGGACTTTGCTTTAAGGTGCCAGAATTGTTCTGGAGAAGCTCCATTCTTTTTTGTCGGAGGTGTACTGGGGAAGCATTGAGCAATTGTTTGTCTTGTGTGGGGTAATGCAAAACTGAGTGTATTTCTGAGGTAATTTATGAACTGATCTGATAACCTGTTTGTCTGGGTTTGCAATTTTTAAGGTTTGTAATTTCCCAAGCAAGCACACCAGCTGATTTTTCTAGGCAAATAGTGACATAGGCTTCTGTGTTGGAACTGAAATGGCACTCAGGGATAACCGCCTGACATCAATACTATTATTGTCATTTGAAGTAGAACACCAGGGTTAGAGCTAGGTTCTGCTACATGTGTTCATCTGTATATTTGCTAAATTTGACACCAGTAAAAGTTTTTTCTTTTTTTCTTTCCTATCCATATGTCCATTTTTACAGCGGGCCCTTCAAGATCCCAACATAGCAGCTTTCATGGTGGAACCAATTCAAGGTGAAGCAGGTGTAGTTGTTCCTGACAAAGGTTATCTCACAGGAGTGCGGGACCTCTGCACAAAACACAATGTAAGGAATTCACTATAACAAGGTGGATTTAACATTACACACTGTGTTTACTGGCATATCTTGTAAGGTCATCCTCATATGCAAGGTATAGGATTTCATAAACTATTTAATCATTTCCTTTTCTTTCAGTCAAATAAGGTAGGGATACTTCTTGTATTTCCTGGCAATAACTTACCAGGAAGTACGTCTCAGCAGCGTGTCTTTTTCACTGTTTCTTACTACTGTCACCAATTTAAGTTTCTAATGAATGTTCTTGAAACTGCATTTTTTTTAAATTAATTTAACTTCTGATTTATTTTTCACATTATAAGTTTCTTGGGCCAGAAGCCAATTTCTGCAGTGGTTCTACCATGGCTATCGAGGGACCTTGTTACTGGAGTGCATAAGTGCTATCAAGAGTTAGTAACAGTAGTGAGTCACAGAATGAAACACTAAAGAAAATGGTCATATACTTATGAACGTTCTTTTAAGATCTCTGAAGAGCAGAAGTCTTACAGTTTTGTTCTTTTGTTAGGAATTTTCTCAGTTTCTGTTTCATATCACGTTCCTGACTCCTATTCTGAATATTATGTCCTGCCTGAATTCTACTAAGAAATGTTTAGTTTTGAAAATGGAGCATTAGATCTATAATTTCTATTCTGTGCTAGTGAATTAGATTTGCATTCAGTGTCTGTGGAAGGGTGGGAAGATGTGGTTATGTATATTCTCATGTCCTACAGCTGTCTTTGGGTACTGCTAATTCTCACAAGCAGGCTGCCGTGCCTTCTTATTCCAGGACCAATTTGGTCAGCCTCTCCCACAGGCCTAGGCCACATCCTTTGTAAGTGTAAGGAAAACAACTAAAAAAGGTCTGCTGATTTAGAGCTTTTTTTCTCTTAATGTTGCCTGTCTGATTTAAAAATCAGTAGTCTCCATTCCAATAGAATTCTGATTCTTAATTTGGAAGTGCTACCCGTAAATCCTTCTATACCTTCAGAGGAAGGTATTGACACATAATTAATAAAATTATCTCCGTTATTGCTGCGATACTTACCTCTCAGAAAAAATAAGGGGTACTTTACAAATAGTAGTATGTGACAACAGTGCAGTTTAGGAGAACAAGATCAAAAACTTGGAGTTAGGCTCTCAGAATTATTTAGGCACTTAGACATCAGACTACAAAAGCTCGAGAGTTGCTAAAATGGCATTTTTCAGAAGCTTCCAAAGGTCAGTGTAACAATGATGCACTGGGAGTAAAGACAGACATATCCTAACTTTTTGCAAATCCCACTCATTGTAATAACGCAAATAGATTTTGGTTGGACAACCCTGTGTGCAGTATGCCTTACATAGAAAAGAATACACTAAGGATGTGGGAGAGAGAGGACAGTATGTTCACTTATTTTGACATTTCATAGAATACGTAAGTCTCCAGGAGGTTTAGAGGAGGTAAAAGAAGTACCTTCGTGTACTTAGTGTGATGCAGCTGGAAGGTCTTTCACTTACTGTGTGCAATTATGCTATATTGTTTGAATTGAGTTAGGAATGGGAGCGAAAGTCACTCTCTGTTATGTGTGGATTTTTCTTCTTTTTGTATCTATAAAGGTTCTGTTTATTGCTGATGAAGTACAGACTGGTTTAGCCAGAACGGGGAAAATGCTAGCTGTTGACCATGAAAATGTGAGACCTGATATAATTCTTCTTGGAAAGGCCCTTTCTGGTGGCTTATATCCTGTGAGTAACAAACAAATATCCATTTGTTGAATAATGAGTTTTAAGTAATTAACCTTGAAAGTCTACTAGTTGGAAGGCAAACAGATCTGATGTTTGCTGTGCTTGGAAATTGGTGCTTACAAGATTAACTGTGATTTGTGACACAGGTAGTCCAACCTGTGAGAGACAGGTAAGGAAATAATAGAATACATAATGTTACATTTATAGCTGAAATGGATATATAGTATCCTGAACTTTCTGTGTTGATAATTGACTTCTTAGGGTGGCAAGTTGTTAGATACCATCTTCTTAGGCTGGTGATTTTTAGGTCTTTTGGCCTTTGTCGATTAATTGAATAGATTTGGTATATCTGTTTTCTTCAGTTTGATATTACCCTATCAGGAAAATAAGTGTCCAGTGGTCAGCCTTTCATTCTGGAATTACTAGTTAGTCTTTACTCTCTCTGGAGAGTAGTTTATTACAGTCTTGCTGTGATTAATTTCTAGATGAATTCTGTAAAGGAAAAAAAATACTAATGTGTGTTAAAACATATATTATAAAGCTATTTCTGGACAACTTGTTTGGCATGCCTGCATGATTGATTTTATCCTCTTTGGAGTGACTTAAATTCCTACTGATTAGGCTGGAAATTACAACATGCCTTGAACTGTTTTGGCCAATTGAAAGTATTTCTGAGTTGTTAAACAGAGTATTAAATCTTAAACTCTTGAAATAATATTCAGTTTGGAGAATGCTCCTCAGCCGTAGTTAGATGTTATGTGTTACCACTATAGCTAAGTGTATTTAAGGGATTAAGCTGTTATGTGATTGTCAGATATGCTCTCCTCTATACAGAGCTGGGAATCTAAATGTAATTTATCACCACAGGCTGAAAATTATCCTTTCCTGAGCCCTGAGGAAAAGTTTGCTTCAGAGATATTTAAGTTTACTGTTCTAAATATGTGTAAATGAATTGGCTGACCTTTCCATTTTAGGTCTCAGCAGTACTATGTGATGATGAAGTTATGCTGACCATTAAGCCTGGTGAACATGGATCTACATATGGAGGAAATCCATTAGCTTGCCGTGTTGCAATGGCAGCACTGGAGGTTTGTGTGTTGTAATAGAGATTTGGATTCCATAGAAAAAAGGGTGTCACAGTGGCATGATCTTTGCTTAAACAAATGATATCATTTGTTATGCTACAAGTAGAAATCTAGCTTTAAGTAAGACTGGAAAATTGGTAGTGGGTAATTGTTTGCATAGATCACAAAACAAATTCTAAAGCCTTTACTGGAAATGTGTCCTAATTTCTCTGTTCTTACGGTCTTAATGTCTTAAATGACAAAATATAATTTATCTAGGGGAAGTTTCAAGGCACTTACGTAAATGCAGTAAAATAGTTTCACTGATTTCACAAAGGCATTTTTAAATTGGCTTATTTTACTATACCATGCTGCAGAGGCTGCTGCTCTGTGAGCTTGATAACACATGTATGCAACTGGAGCTCAAACAGAAGCTAGTAAAATGTCTTGTCCAAAGTCTGTATTTTAATTATTTTGTGACTGCCTAATTGACTATGTGTAATGCAAGTCACTCAGAAAGCCTTATCATTACCCAATATGTAGACCTGGACAGATTAAGAGTCTTCAGAGGTTTACCGTTTACTTGTAAATAATGGCAAATGAAAAGTTGTTAATTTAGAATAAAATTTCAAAGAGATTATTGTTTCTTGTAAGCATGAATGAGTACAGGCTTAATACTAACCTGCTTGGATGTGCAGCCTTTGCAGTGACACTTTGGATGCAACAGCTTTTGTATCTCAGCAACTGTAATGTCATTAGTCATCCATTCCGGTATGGTACAAAAAACAAATGCAATGCCCTTCAGTTGACTGCAGATCTGACTTCCCTTTAGGTAATTGAAGAGGAGGACTTGGCTAAAAATGCAGAAATCATGGGTAACATACTAAGAAATGAGCTCATGAAGACACCATCTGATATTGTAACTTCTGTAAGAGGAAAAGGACTATTAAATGCAATTGTAATTCGGGAAACCAAAGGTAAGGAACTATAATCAACTGCACAATCATAGCATGAAAAAATATTTTTCAACTTAAATAGAAAGTACCTTAATGGAGTAGGGGGATGGCTTATAGACATCATGTTTGGGTTCAGGTCTCGCCTATAGTACTGTAGTACCTACTGGAAATTTATTCAAGCGACTGTGTGCTATTAAAAATAGAGGGTTTTTAACTAAGTAAATCTGAACAATTTTTTTTTAAATTATTTCAATTCTTTTATGATTTGATGTTCAAATGTTCAAACCTGATGGTGAATCTAGCTCCCAGCAAATATCCTTTTGTCTCCTCATCGGAAGATTTCTTAATCTGTAATTTCTTAGGACATGAACGTGATGCACTGAAATTGAGGCATAAATATAACCTTGTCTGAAGTCCTATCCAGGTGTTCTCTTACCTCCACTTTGCATGGTTCACTTTTTAAAATTTATTGCTACATCTAGACAAGCACTCGGCTGTGAAGGAGCAAAACTTGGTGCGCTGGAGGCAAACTTGTGAGCCCCTTCAGACAAATTGCAGTTTTGCAGCAGTCTTGCATGTTCACTGCAAATCCCGGGGAGTTGCTCAGACACTCAGAAGTGACCGCTTCATTTGTGAGAATGAACACGCTTCATCTTTTCACTGCCAGATGGCAAACAGTTTACAGTCTGGCCCCACATACCATGTGCTGTAATTGTGCCACTTTTTCTGCTGTAGTGTAAGTGTCTTTTTTTTCTCTTTCCTTTAATTGTAGACTATGATGCCTGGAAGGTGTGTTTGCGGCTTCGCGATAACGGACTTCTTGCCAAACCTACGCATGGTGATATCATTCGGCTGGCACCACCGCTTGTGATTAAGGAGGATGAAATCAGAGAGTGCATTGAAATAATTCATAAGACCATTCTGTCTTTCTGAACACATGGCTTTTAAAGTATATCTGCTGACTGACCCAAAGTGGTCTGTTGAAATATGTGTGATGAAGGCCTGGTCTTGAAGCAAGCATCTCTCTTTCCTTTATCTAAGAGGACTTGACTCTTAAAATGTAGCTATGTCTTTAAATTATAATGGCTTTGAAGAAAATAAAGAATGATTTTAAAGAGTTTCCAATCTTGGAATACTTGGAAATAAAGTGGTGAGGTTCTGTTCATCTAGTTGTGTACCCACTGAACAGTTAAGTCAGAATGTTTGAGGGGAGATATCTGTAGAAATCTGTTTAATTGTTGAAAGTCTTGGCCAAAGTTTAAGCTGTAATTAATATATATTTTAGTAAGGGTGGTCTTGCACTCTCATATCACTCTCCATTTGGCATTTTGCCCCTTGGTGCGATGTCAGTCGGGTGGAAGCACTTGTCATTATGGATGAATATCTGTTTCTCATCTGTAGCTAGAAAAAACTTCTAGCACTGAAGGTTTGACAAACTGGGTGTTATGCTGGTGAACTTGAGAAGAATCGAGCTGTGTTCTGTATGTACAATATTTTGATTGTATGACAAGAGATGCTGTTTTCAAGCCTGGTCTCGGTGTTTAGCTTTGCAATCTTGTAAAATAGATCTGACCATATAGATCTGTTTTCACTGTTATAAAACTTCCTATAATCTGGATGTTTGTATTAAAACATGCCTTGCATTAAAAAAAAAATGTTAATATGCAACTAAAACACACAGTGTATTCAAAAAGAGCAAGCCCCACAGAAACTTGCAGTCACCTCTATCCAGAGCCCCAGCAAGTGCTGCCTTTATAGTCTATGTATTTCTATCAATCTCTATATGGAAGCTTCTGCTGTGCTTTTTTGCAGGGTGAGTGCATCTGCACTTTTGTGCCTTAGGATGCTGCCAACCTCGTATTCTGTATGCAGTTGTGGAGTTGGCTGCTATTCTTGCACTAGGTTGTTTTTTCATATTTCTTAACCGACCTGTGTTTAGCTGAGACTAAACCCTGATTAATCACTGTTAGTGCAGAATGTTCCGTTTGCCAAGCATAGGGGTTAAATGCAGTCACATGTTCATAATTGGAAACGGTAAATGATCCCTTGGTATTTTAAAGACAACTTAGTTTATGGAAATGAACCAATCTGCTGGAATTAGGGTCAGAGAAGCATTTACCCTACCTTGTTTTGGGTGAGACAAAATAAGTAGTCTGCTGTGGATGAAGTAAGACTGATTCCAATTTGGAAAGGCCTCATTGTTGCAAGGGGTAATGTGTCACTGTGGCTGTTAGCCTTAGGAGTAAGAAAAAAATGCATAAAGGTGTTCCCTAGGAAGTTTGGCATTTCTGAAAGCTGTACTTCAGTAATCTGATTGGAAAGGAGTGAAATTACTGAAAGAAACAGTAATGTAAACAGCATTTGCTGGCGTCCTTTCAGAGACCAAAAGGTAAACCCCAAAAAATCCTTAGCCACCAAAAAGTTTACTTTTGTAGAGTAATAGGGCTGGCAAGGACGAAGGACATGATCCGGTCTGTTCCTGTCGCCCAGTTACAGCTATGTCATTGTTTGCTTAATTGCCTGGAAGGGCTGTAGGGCAGAAGACTCCAGGCTTTGTTTTAATGCTTCTCTGTCCTTACTGTTAGCAAGTCTCCTACCATATTCTCCATCTGTCTTCTTGCTGCCCATTTATAGTGTCCGTCAGGCCACAGAGAACAGGTTATTTTCCTTCTATGCAATGGTCTTTTAACATACCTAAAGTTTGTTATCACCCTTGTTTCAGTCATTGTTCCTTCTCCAGTTAAAATTCTAATTCTTTCCTGAGAAGTAATGTTTTCTAGAGCCCTTGCTGTTGTCTTTCTGTGATTCACTGCTATGTCTGTGCCCTCACTAATGCCAAGTAGAGCTAGACTAGTTCATGTGGCTTGTATGCTGTACTGTAGCTTATGCCCGAGTATTGTGGTTTGGGTTTTCCTGCAGTAGCATATTTTTATCTCTCAGCCTGTGCTCCAGACTCCCTTTTGTGCAAACTGTTTTGAAGAACAGCTTTGAAGCTGTTTCCCCCCATTTTTTATTTGTGTAATAAGCAAGAATTACATGCATGTAAAAGTCTGTGGTCTGGTCTGCTGACTTTCATCCTCTATTACTGAGAATATTTCTCTGGCTTCTGGTGATCAATTTGAGCTCTGATCTTGTCCAACCCACTTTCTGGTTGCAGATTTACTAGGCCAAGACTGCTTAGAACTTGAGAAATTTTTCTCTTTCTACAGCAGACCATTGCTGACTGATCTCTGGGCTTTTTATTCATCTTAGGGTTACTTCATGAATCCAATTTCTTTGCCAAGGTATGTGTAACCTTTCTGAAGACAAGTCAAAAACTGTCATCCTAAATTGCCCTTATTTAATGACGGGGTAATTGAGGAGTTTTCTGTTTTAACCCGAAAGTTCTCTGACTTGCTCTCAACCCTGAATTATTCCCACAGCCACAGCTACCCATGTGAGGAACATAGGTGCATAATACCGGCTCAGAAATTCAGGAACAGGACTGAGGATGACAAAGTCCCCAGAGCTCGTAGGCATGTGCAGAGCCTAAAGAGACATTTCGGGTGGCCAGGGCCCTTGCAAGGTACAGTGGCAGGTGGTTCTCAGCTTTTGCATTAATAGGTGGTGGGTAGGATGTGTGTCCAGGAGGTGGCTCTGAATGAGTCCCGTGTCCTACACGAGTGTGTTTGTCACCGTCTGCCTTTCTCGGGGTGGGATAAACTCCGCTCGTGCTTGTAAAACAACACTGCTGTGTGCAAAACAGTGAAAAACTAATGGGGCGGGAAGAAGAGTAAGGACAAGGGTGGATGACTGCTGCCTAGGAGCTAAAGCAGACAAGGGTTTTTTTGAATGTTTGGTTTAATTGCAGTTCAATGCCAGAACAAGTACAGAATTACATATATTATTTTGGGACTGAAGACAGGAACCCAGGACTTCTCTTCCCAGACACTGAGCCTGTCACCAGTTAACCGCTGCTTCAACAACAAAAAAACCCATCTTGGCAGTTATCAGTGAGATAGCAGGAAGAGCTGAAATGGCCAAAGGAAATGTCAAAGCTCCTTCTCTTCTAGCGTGCAAAGTGGCAAAATTATAAGCTATCAGAAAAATCAACTGCCTTCAATATGTTGTGTCTGTTTTGAGAAAGAGGGGGCAAAAGAAGGGTTTGCTTTATCATGGAAAGTATTTTTTGTCTGTCTTCTAGCAAGCATAAACTGGGATTTGGCCAGTTTTCAGTGACACTGCTTAAACCTCTCAAACTCAAATATAGCTGCTTGTATAACTAATGTGCTTGTAAATCAGTCTCTGGTTTTGTTCTCTGGGATCTTAATTAGCCTTAGAAATTTTCTTCAGGGCTTTTATTACTAAAAAAATGTAGACAACTAAAGTGCCCTTACCTGCTTAGTGCCAGAAATACAGTGCTTTCGGGTTTGTACTTGTTCCATGTATTGCTCAAGTGTATATAGCTCAGCCAAATGCTGGTTCTGAGCAAAGTTCAGTTTGAAGGAGGCCAAACTGAAAATAATTTACAAATTAGTGTAATATATACAGTGAAATGTGCAAAGAAAATATGTAAGACATTTCATAATATACTATGAGTTTGGTTTTTGCATCATAACTTCATAGGAGGTGAAGAAGTGAGAAAAGCAAGCTCAGAGGATGCCCTTTCTGTACCTTCCCAGTATTTTATGATATGTTTCTTACTTTGTATTAGTTAGAGATGAGCGTGTGGAAATGGCATTTCTTTGGTGATGCTTTTTGCTGGTGTAATTGAAATTTATTTTCAAAATGGTACTCCAAAGAGATCTGTATTGCCTATCCAGAGAGTTTAGTTTTCTTTAATAAGAGCTATACAGCAATAAAATTTTCTAAAAGTATATGTATGTATCTACAAAATGTTGCTTTAAGCATTTGGCTGTAAAGACTTAATCTGTTTCCATTATATTGCCTGCCCGTATTTTTGTGAAGTAGCTTCTGATGTGTTTTTTGCATCAGGTATACGAAATGCTTTTCTAAATGAATAGTGACTCTGCGTTCAGTGCTGTGCAAACACAGGGAGGTAATCTAAGCACCCAAGAGGCAAACCAGCATTCCTCGGGCACCCAGGGCAGCCCTTGGCTTCACTGGAAGCTTTGTTTGCAGAAATAATGCCCAATTGTGCTGGGCACCCGTGCACTTTGGCAAGAGAAGTGTGCGTGGTTTTTGGCCTGAAATCATGCAATATATATACTGGCATAGAAAAAAATATTATTCTGCTTATGGATAAACGTAAACCAAGATTTAAAGGCACCTTGTGAAATGCTGAAAGGCAAGAGCAATGTAGTGAACAGTGGGGAGATAGGAAAACATATAATGCAGGTTTTCTTGGTTTTTTTCCCTTTCCTGCTGGCAATCTTGGGAACCGTGCTTATGACATTGTCCTTTTTCTGTGCTTCTTTTCAGCTGCAAAAACATGAATTTATGTAATCAAACAATATTGTCTAACGTTAAAAATTACCAAAATAGATTACTTAATAGGACTCAAATGCCTATCGGTCATGACCTGGTAAAGAGCTGCACATCTTGAACCTGTTAGAAGTTTCCATGATGAAGCAATGTCTGTTTTGTTTGTCTTTCAACAGCAATGTTAATGGATTAGTTAAGTAGAAAAACAGGCCTTAGTTGTGTCTTTTTTTTTTTTTTTAAATTATTTTTTTAGCTGTATCTGCTTCTTGTTCCCTTCTCATCTTTTCCATCTTCTGGCAGCAGATGGAGCCAGAAGCTCAGCTTTAAGCTAGGTGTAGAGGTTTTTTTGGAGTTTGTGACTCCTGGGGGCTCACTTTTGGTCTTTACTAATACGAAGATGTGACACAAACTTCAGTCTCATCTCTGGGTGCTATCTCAACACGTAACTTGCGCTGTGCACTCCTGTGGCTAATCCTGTGTGAAGGGGATTGTAAAAAGAATTCCTACATCTCTCGCATGGCAAACGCCCAGTAATTCCTAGCTGTCAGCGTATGACTGCTAGGGATGTAGGGGCAGCTGAGGAGAGGAAAAAAAAGAGGCTTTCCTTCTCACAGCACTGAAGTAGAGCACATTAGAAGAGATTTTTTTGAGACAAAATTTTAAATATTTTTTTAAAGTGGGGAACTGCTTTCCTTGGGCCTCCCTGTGGTGCTTCAATCCAGAGTGAGAGGCTTAAGCAGTTGGAGTTGCTGTATTTGTGCAGTAAAAAGAGGTGTTTTGCTGAACCTTCACTCAGCCCTCACCAGGAAAAGCAGACAACAAAAAAATGGTACCAGCACTATTAAGCAATTAAAAATCCCTAGTGCTACCCTGGGTAGAAAGCTCACAAACCTACTGCGTTGGCCATCGCTTGGAAGGGGTCCTGGCATCTCCACCAAATGCTTGAGAGTGGTAAATTCTTGTACTGCTTCGTCCGTAAGACCTGGGGGAGCTGGAGGGAGTTACGGGAGCCCCAGGCAGTCCCGTCGCTCAGGGGGTCAAGGAAGAGCTGCTGACTTGGGCCACCGGTTAGAATGCTCCTTTGTTTTTTCTTCCCAATGCAAGTTAATGTGCTTTTATTTTCATCCTTTTGAGGCAGCCTGTTTTCACGCTGCAGCCCAGCACGCTGAATGCTAATGTGGCGCAGATAAGAGGTGACCATAGCGAATCCTCTTCAGTTGTTGTTTCCCTCGACGCTCTCGGTCCGTCTGCTCGGGCTTGTTTGGAGAAATCTGAGCAGAGACTGTTCTGTCTGGAAAATCCCCGGGCTGTTATCGGCACTAGTCCAAATAAATAAGGGTAGAAAGCAACTCCTACTCATTCCTGTATAAAATCCTATTAATCTGCTATGATTTAGGCTGCATAGAAAGCCCCTCAGGAGCGTTGACCCTTTGCACAACTAGTAAACCAAACAAAGGGCTGGACCTTGGATGAACTTGCAGCCCTTCCCCAGGGTCTGACACATGGGACACCTAATTCTCAAGCTAATACAGTCATTTGG